ACAAACAAGTACCTGTTCCGCCAAAGCCGATTCACCCGTTTTCAATTTATCCACAGCATTTTGATGTTATTTTACTCTAAATTTTAGGTTCCTACTTGTCTGTCCAATGTAACTTGGACAACAAGTACATGAAATTTTGTATACATCACATTTATCCTTCAATTCAATTTTGTCTTTCAAACCATTAATTATATGACTTAATTTTAAATGAGGAGTAAATGTTACTTGGCAGTTTAAGTTTTGCCTTAACACATTACCTATTTTTATTGACCATGGCAAAACATGAGGCAAACATGTTCTTTCTATATTTTGCTTGTTTGTTATTTCCAATTTCGTACATCCAGAAATTTAAAGTTTGTTGTAATATTTACTGTATATCCTATCTATGATTTGAGGTTGATACCCTCTATCAATCACTATCTGTTTTAAATATATTAATTCTAACATGAAATTCTCATCATATCATGAAATATTGATAGCCCTATAAACAAAGGACGAAAATGAGGACATTTTTTTTTAACATGTATGACACGATATCACATGTGGCAGCACGGCATCTGGGAATGGTTTCCTGTAGACAGAAACCCCTTCTCTCTTTTTTTACAGGAACATCTAAAAAATGTAAACAACCATCATCTTCAGCTTCTAAAGTGAATTGTATATTAGGGATGATCAAATTCAGATGCTTCTGGAACTGAATTAACGTGTCATTACCATGTCGCCACACCAGAAACATGTCATCCATGTACTTTACCCACTCCTCGGGTTTTATCAATGCTGTTTTTAATGCACAAGTTTCAACCTCAAACATGAAAATGTTAGCTAACAAAGGTGGTAGGGATGACCCCATAGACAAACCTTTATTCTGTTTGTAAGTATTATTTCCTACCTCAAAATAACTATTTGTTACACACAATCTTGTTAAATTCATGATATCATGTACTTCTAAATGTGAAAAAATCTTACTAGCTAGTAATCTATTTTCAAAACAACTGAACACTTCTTCTACAGGTACATTTGTGAATAATGATACTACATCATAAGAAACTAGTCTTTGACTTTCTATTATGTGCATATTCTTAGTCTTTTTTTTACAAATTCTGATGAATTTTTAACTGAGTATGTATGTAAATTTGTTAAAAATAAAAATTTTTTAACAATAAACTTAGCCTCCAAATGTTGCCTTCCAATATCCTTTCTTACATAATTAGTCGTGAGCTTGTGATATTAAAAAATGTTCTATAGAAATGTGGTTAACAAAGAAAAGAAAATTTAAATCAGTAAATGTAATTGAATTGTGAAACTATTAGTACATCTGTTATTACTGAAATACAATTCAAAATTATTACAATTTTATGCGAGGTTCCAGGGCCTGTATTTCATGTGAAACTATTTCTTCCATTGTCAGTCATGCTTAGTCTGATGGTCATGATTATGATATTGCCTAACATAACTATTTTAATTGTAACAAGCTTCCACAAAGGATGGTGAAATAATTCTTGGACCACAAATCTTGACAAATTTTCCCTAGTCTCTGAACTGTATGTGATAATGGCTTCCAGGATGTGGTTAAATGGACTAAAGTCCTAAAATATTATTGGAGCTACACTGAGAAACTGAAAAGATATTTGGTTGTGAGCCCAGTTTCCATGGATAACTTTTTTGTAAAAATAGCCATTGATTTTGAGGTGTGGTTTGCAAGAAATTTGAAAATCTTAGAGGGAAAATTTATTTAAAGACAATAAAATGCATACTTTTTTGTCTGTAGAAGTATCAAAATTAGCATTTAAGCATCTCATTTGTGTAATATTAATTTATTTTGCATTGTATATGTTAAACTGGTTTTTGTAAAGTAAGTTTATATGCTTATTACATAAGCATGTTTGATTAAAGCTTAAGGTAATTTCTAAGTTCGAGCACTGTTATACTTTACAGAATTCTGATTGTCTTATGAGAAAGAAAAATATGTTAAACTTAGCTTTGCAAATAACATTTTAAAAATGAATCAACTAATAATTTTTTCACAGCCCTGTTTTGTAAGAAATTGGGAACTGCAAGTTCACTTCAAAGTTTATGGTCAAGGAAAAGATCTTTTTGGTGATGGCTTAGCTCTATGGTATGCTAAAGAACCTCTTCAGATAGGTAGGCATACTTTTATTAAAGTATTTTACATTCTGTATGAATAATCAACTAATTCAGGACGTTATTAATGCTTGAAATGTTGATGTGGTGAATAACATAAGAACTCTTTGCTAATCTTACAAATAAAAATAGAAGAAACTAAAAGTTGAAAGTAAATCATTAGTTCATTAAGATCCACCCCTTAGTGTGTGGTAGTAACAGCGGTTCATTACGCCATAAACAACTGAAAATTAATGTGTGTTTAATGTACAAACATTACCAAATATTTTAAAACAAGAAAATCAAAGCAATAAAAGAAGAATCTAAAATCTGTTTGTATTTAAAAACTGTTATTTTTGACTAGTGATTTAACATTTTCTGGATTGGAGTGGGGTCAGTGATATCCTGTAATCGTATGTGCACTGCAGGGTCACAGTGTAATGTCAAAACCTTTTACAGAGTTATGTTTTACTTTATTATCAATGCATCTTGGGTTTTTATTGGCTATAAATAATATAGTATTGAATGTCAAAGAGAACTAATGGCAATTTCTTGAAGAGAGGATGTGACAGGTGGGCATGG